AAAATAGTCAAACAGTAAACTTCCTTCTTGTCATTTGAATTAAGGACAGATTTGGAGGGGGTTTCCACAAACTTAAGAAAAAAATGATGAAGTGTCTGATTTAAAAATTAGGTAAAGGGGCAGTTCCTGTGGCTCAAAGGAGTAGGGTGCTGGTCCCATATGCTGGAGGTGGCGGGTTCAAACCCAGCCCCGACCAAAAACAGGCTACATTACCTGCTTATGAATAATAACTGGAATGCAGTGGTATTTTCATAGGTCACTATAGCCTCGCATTCCTGGGCTGAAGGGATCCTCCTGCCTCAGAATCCCAGCTAGAACTAGAGGCACACGCCACCAGGCCTACCTCATTTTCCAAAAATTTTTTGTAGAGATGGGGTCTCTGTGTGTTGCCCAAGCTGGTCTTAAACTCCTGGCCTCAAGCGATCCTCACACCTCAGCTTCCTGAAATGCTGATTATTTACGTGAACTACCACAACAGGCCTAAAAATGTGAAGCTGTTAATCCCTCCAAGACTGACTAGTACAAAACAAGATTACTTCTCTATAGATAGATATTTTAACTAAATTAATATTTTAAGGCATATGGTTTAAAAAAGAACTCTCTTCCAAATTTCCTTTGAAAGGCTAAAATGGCCATATTGATGATGAAAAAATTACCCACAAACTCGAAGCTCATTTTTGATTCGGAGATGCTCGTCCTACATCCTTGTAAGTTATAAATATGAGGACATCAAGAGGCTTATTTTAAGGGTTGTTAAGAGTCAAACCCTGGTGAAAGGCAAGGCCGAGAAACAGTTGTAAGCCAAAATAGACATGAGATCTAGAAACAGAAATCTGGATTCAAAACTTGCTTTTTCAAATTGGAAGTAACAAGTGGCAATGGGGAAATATTCCCTAAGTTAAGAATTTTCTAAGACAGTGGTTCTCATGGCAGTGCCTGGTCAACAGCCTCTGAATTAACCAGAAACTTATTAAAACCAGCTGATGCTTCATGTTCCATTATTGGAACGGTAGTGACATGGGAGTTATTTATATCCTACTGGTCAAGGTCATGGACAAGGTCTGATTTTTCACACTTGTCTGCCTCCTGTACATGTTTGTGGTGCATGGAGTTAGTCACTGCTGCAGATACTGGTGTGCTGGGAACTTGTCAAAAAGTGATGGGAATTTCTGAAAAAACTTAAAAGAACCATCCAAAGACAGGTAAATAGAACTGTATTTCACTGCAATTTTTTTCTATTACTTCTCTACTAGCTATGCTATTGTACTATGTTGCAATAAAATGTTTAAAGTATAGATATAGATAAATCTCTGTAACAATATGTTGAGCAAAGAAGCCAGACACAAATAGTTCATATTGTGAAGTTTTGTTTATAGGAAATTCAAGAAAAGGCAAAATTAATCCGTAGAGACATAAACTAGATAAGTGATTGCCTATAGGTGGGGGTGGGATTAGGAGACTAATAGCAGAGGATCATGAGGGAAATTTTAGGGGCTGATGGAAATGTCCTGTGTCTTAATAATGGTGATGGTTGCACAGGTGTACACATGCGTCAAAGTCATGAAACTGTACACTTGGCAGTACCCTTAAATGTCTGTGTTTGTGTGTATTCAAATTATATGTCAGGAATTGATTTTTTGAAAGCTAAAGGTATATACATGAGGGGTGAATGCATGCAAAATTTTAAAGTAGCTATTTTTTTGGCTGAATTCCAATTGTTATGTCACAGTTATCCCAATTTTTCACAATTAGACTTCAATAGCTCCTAAAATAAAATATAATACAGATTAATGCTATTTTAAAAGATAGCAGGTCCATGTTTTATATTATTTCATCAGTAAACTCAAGTCTGCAGAGTATATCAAATAGCATAAAAAATGCTCATGGACTCAGAACTATATGTACCTTAAGATGCTAACTTAGTAAATACATACATATGTACTTCTTTATTCTTTTTGTGTTTCTCAAATATTTCACAATAAACATGTAATATTTTATAATGAGACAAATGAGTTTTAAAGCAAAATCTTCTAGTTTGATCATGCCCACTACAGAAGATATTTTCTAATAGTTAGCATTATACAAAAGCCTTTACTATTATTGCACTTTGAAGATTGAATGGTTTTGCCTCTGGAGATATTTTAATTTTAGCTATAGTCCTGAAATTTTAAGATACATGTTCATTAAAGAGCATTTATTAGTGTATTTTGTGTAATTTGGTGTTATATTTGTAATACAGTTCTGCCTTTGGATGATGTATATACCTACATTTTAAATGCTTGAATAGGAGTTAAAAGCTATAGGTGAAATGAGACAAATGAGCAATTTTAACTTATAGTTTTATTTAGAACCATACTGTTTCCCTGAAAATAAGACACTGTCTTATATTTATTTTTTTTCTCAAGAAGACACACTAGGGCTTATTTTCAGGGGATGTCTTCCTCTCCAAGCCAAAATGCACAGTGTGGCTATGTAGCATATCTGATACGCTGCATAGCCACGCCCATCACTAGGTCTTATTATCGGGTAGGGCTTATGTGTTAACAAATGCATAGAAATCTTGCTAGGGCTTATTTTGGGGGTAGGTCTTATTTCCGGGGAAACATAGTAAAGTTATAATAAAAGAGGACTTCACAGATTGTCTAGGTCAGTTTCACAATTTCTTAGATAAGAAAACAAAGGCCAAATTACCAAGTCAATTAAAGGCAGACCAGATCTCATGCCCAGAGGGGTGACATACCAGCTTTTGCTACGACAAGACAGGCTGTGCTTGAGTTTGATGAAGTGTGCCTTTGAAGTTTTCTGATCCACACATCATTTATTTTGCCACATAGTCAAACAGATCAGTCTAACTTCTTGTAATTGGTTACCTATTAGTAAATATACCAAAACATTTTAGGAACATTTAAGGCCTCTACTTATGTTTTTTCTTCATCTTAGAACATGATTAAATCTATAGCTTCAGTCTGGCAAATATGCTTAGAGCCAGGGAGACTTGTTATAGGGGAGTCTGTAGGGCACTTAGGGCAGAAATAGAAGAGAAATTTAGAATACAGTTGAGTGGTGCTTTGCTATAAAATTAGTAGAACTTGGTAGATTGGCTATTAGGGATAAGAGGAGCAGAGAAATTGATCAGGCTTCTTTTAAACCAGGTATATGGGAGGCCCTTCATCGAAGTAGAAAGCACAGTAAAGAGTTCAGACTATGTTTATCTAGGAGGTGATGTATCCTCCCACCCACTTATGCCTTGGAGCAGTGTATTTACAGAGAAAAATTCTGAGAGGAGGACTGACCAAATTAAGTACCTGTTATTTGAATTTTGATACATATGGTCCTACCGCTCTGTTTAAAAGTTAATATTTGGGGGGAGAGGTTAGTTAGTTCAATACCTAAAAAGTGATATCTGATATCTTACTGTCCATTTTATTTCCACTATTTTTCTTTTTTGGAAGTAAGGATGACTATCTTCTAAATATATATCTCTATATTATGTTTATATCATATATATGTATACACATATACTGTCTGTTAATATCCTTGCTTAGTTTTCTAGTGGTTGTATTTCTTTTTCTTTCTGACTTTTTAAAAAGCTCTATGTATGGTAAGGAGATTAGGCCTTTGTCAGTCTTAAGCATTGCAAATAATTTTGCCAGTTAAGTGCCTGACATGTTATTATGCACATAACAAGTTTTAATTTGTATGTAGTCAATATTTTCTTTTACGGTTTCTAAGCTTTTTATAATGCTTAAAAAGACCTCCATATCATGTACACGGCATAGCCTTTAAGATTAGAGGAGAAAAAATAAATAAAAAGGCTTCTTAGTCCATAATTATTTGAATGTTTTCATTCTTTTATCTTATATTCTCATAGTTGTAACTCTAAGAATTTAATTCACATGGAACCCATCTTGATGAAAAAGATGACGTTTCACAGAGGTCACTCCCACCATAATTCATTGAGTAATTCATCTTTCCCCCTGCTACTTTAAAGTGATACTTTTCTAAATCAAAAATTAAATTGCTGTATATATTTACATCTACAATTGGATTCCTTGTTTTCTTCCATTGAGCCTATCCCAATGTTATTCTAAACTTTTAATTAGTGAAATGTTATGTATTTAATATCTGTTGAGGCTACCTCCATTCATTCTTCTTGTTTTAAATATGTAATCTTGCATGTTTATTTTTCACTTAAACTTTAGAATCAGATTAACTTGTAAAAAGTCCATGTTGTTATTGTTGTTGTTTTGATTGAGATTAGTCCCATTTCCAAATTTCTAGAAGAATTTAGGGAACCTTGTTATATTTACGATGCTGAATTTTCTTAGTCAAGAGAAGTATTTCCATTCACTCACGCACATTTTTTTTTCCTTCATCCACAATGTAACTTTCTAGCTAATTTTTATTTGCTGGAAAGAACACTTTTTTTTAATGACAATAGTCTCATAATTGATTCTCGAAGATTTTCACCTGTACAAGCATCTCATTCGCTAATGGCAATGTTACTTCCAATGTTCATAAATTTTTCTTTCTCGTGTCTCATTGCTTTGGCCAGTAACTTGAAACCATCCCGAAGCGATAGTGATGACAGGGTGCATTTGTGCTTTGCTCCTCCTGACTTTATGGAAATAATAATACACATTTTAATAAGAAATATTTTATCCCCTTTCAGCATAACCACACACTTTCTGTACTTCTCGATTCTCCTGAGTTTTCTTCACTGGCATTCTTTATTTTAATAAAGAACTTTGAGCCTTGAAAATTCCCTCCATTAGTTTAAAGATAAAAAAACAAAGTTCTTCATATCCATTGCTTAGAAATGAAACATTTTAATTAAAGGTCAAGGCGCTAAAATCCGTAGCAACAGCCAAAGCAAAGGGTTAGGAAACTTCCCTTCAGAAGGCCATGCCCTGCAGTCACTCCACTGTGGAGGAACAGGAGACTGGGGAGGAGTCGGGGCCACTCCCGCCCCCTGCCCAGGGTCGGTGCCACCCGCGGAGATGAAATGCGAGCCCGGGTAGCCGAGGACTCCAGAGCGGACGGCCACCCCGCGCCAGAGCGCTCGGGCGCAGGACAAAGAGACCTCGGTCTCCCACGCAGCCCGCCCCGGCCACGGGCGCCCCGGCTCCGCGGAACTCCGCACCCGCCACCTGGGCAATGGCCAGGGCTCCGCTCGACCCCTCTTTCCCGAGCGCTGCTCTCAGCATATGACAACCCTCCATCCTTTCCTTCCCCTCCTGGTCCCAGCTGACCCTTCGCTCCCAGCCTCTCTCCGGTCTGTCTGTCCATCTGTCCTGGCGCGCAACCTCCGGCCACCGGCTTGGATGGACGCGTCGAGGCTGCCCGGGCGTCCAGGGGTCTTGCTTTCGAAGTTGGTCCTGCTCTTTGTCTGCGCAGGTCAGTGACAGGGGGCGGCGGCGGGAGAGGGTCGCGGGCTTGGGGCTGCGCGTGGGTCTCCGGCCGGGCTCAGGCGGCTTGGGCGAGCTGGACCGCGGACCTTCGTGGGAGGGCAGAGGGCGTGCGGTCCCCGCCAGGCTGCCGCAGACCACCGCGCGCTTCAAGCCTCCTCTCAGCCTGGTGGCGGGGTGGTTTGGCTTCTTTTCCTTTAACTTGTCCTGTTTGCATTTCTTTTCTTTTTCTTTCCCTCTCTTGGCAAAGCACCTTAGAACCGGCAATCCGCAGGTTTAGGGGATGTCACTCTGTGGATAGCATAAAATATTCTCAGGTGTATCCGCGACTCAAGGGGAATGTGAGGGTGCGGGCGGAGCTAAGGGTGGGAGGAAAGCATGTTTAAAGCACCTGAAGTTTAAAGGTGCTGCTCAAGTTTTCAAACAAACGAATCTGGTGACTTTTCCCTTTCTCGGTAGGCTACTCACTGCCGTCCACCTTCCACTTTGTGAATATTCC